AGGGAGAGAGCAAGAGAGCGAGAAAGAAAGAGAGAGTGTGAGAGAGAGAGAGAGAGAGAGAGAGAGAGAGAGAGAGAGAGAGAGAGAAAAGAGAGAGAGAGAGTGTGTGTGAGAGAGAGAGAAAAGAGAGAGAGAGGGGGAAAGGGTGTAGGATTGGAAGTGGGGGCAGGGAGGTGGGAGGTTTGGAAAGCAAGCAAGAGGAAGAGAAAAAGGTGAAGAGGGGAAAGGGGAGGGGTGGGGTTAGGAGAGAGAGGGGTGATGAAGGGGGGGGGCAGAGGAATTTTGAGAAGAGAGAGAGAGAGATGGAGAGAGAGATAGAGAGACAGAGACGGAGAGACAGAGATGGAGAGAGAGAGGGAGAGAGAGTGAGAGAGAGAGGGGGGAGAGAGCAAGAGAACGAGAAAGAAAGAGAGTGTGAGAGAGAGAGAAAAGAGAGAGAGAGAGAGGGGGGAAGAGAGAGAGGGGGAGGGAGAGAGGGCGTTCTCGAGCAGTGTCAAGGTAAAAACGATCATACAGTCCTATCCGAAGATTCTTACAGTTAAACTCATGCTGTTTATCCGAAGACCTTAGCTATTGACAGGTGCCGGAGACAGTAAAAAAAAGCAAGGCGTTAATCGTAGTGCTGGGCGGCTAGGTTCCCAATTATTGGAAGCTAGGAATCGTAGGACTCGACTCCGAACCCAATTACTTATTTTCTAATAATGTGATTTCTTCTGGTCGCTACCTGGTTGGCTCCGAACATCTTCAGGATTTAGGATAACCTTGATTTCGGACCACTACGATGCACCAACTTTTATTTTTCAAAAATAACTTCTAAAAAAAAAGATTTTAACGATAAAAGTCTGGTAATCGTTAGTTTAGGTAAAGAGGAGACACATCTAGTTTTTAGTTTTAGTAGAGGTTATACGGCACTCGCAACTGCATAAGGTCATAAGAGCGCCAGAAGATTAGAGGTGTTACAAGAGAGTAACAAACATAAACAAAAGAAGAAGGGGAGATAAAGATGAGAGATGTTCGATAGGAAAGAGGGAGCAAACCACACCAGAGCACCCGCCAACCACCCACTAGGAGACACATGGCTACCACAGAATGACCAAGTGCTATCTACCCAGTACCTAGTTTTTAGAAATTTGACGGAAAAAAATTTGGAGTTTCACAAAATGTCAAGCTTTTCCGAACGCAATTCTTTGATTGAATATCTTGACAACGACCCCGAATACATTTACGATTTTGATAGAGCAGATAGAGCACTTAATTCTGACCTCGTGGTCATAGTAACTTAAAACGGCCAAAAATGTCAGATATAACTTTTTAATTTAGTTTTAGTAGAGGTTTTACAGCGCTCGCTACATACTGCAAGAGGGTCATATTATGATCCCCAGAAGATTAGAGGTGTTACAAGAGAGTAACAAACATAAAAAAGAAGAAGCAGAGATATAAAGACGATAGATGTTTGATAGGAAAGAAGAAGCAAAGCACATCAGAGCACCCGCCAACCATCCACAGCTAGAACTTTGTAGTTCTGAGGTACCCACCGACCGGTCATTGTGACCCAGATTTTGCTACCACGTGATTTACAAACATTAGCCATGTTGCCCAGATCTACGAACGTCTTGCGAGTGAGGGGGAGGGAGGTTTGGG